TATATATTCACTATAAAACTGTATTTGGTGCATTTTTTTATCAAATAAATGCAGCCTTGGTAACTACAAAAACATAAACAAAAATTTAACTGAATGTAAACTACAAACAAACATAAACAATATTAATACTACAATACTAATAAATGTTGTAGTTTTATCATTTAATGCCATGTAAAAACTACTAAACGTCCATTAGTGAAATGATTTTCTTAAGTTTGCCTGTTGTTTTTACAATAAGTAACAATTGCTTTGTTGTTTCAGGTTTTTTTTTTTTGTTGTGGTGCAAAGACAAAACTAAAAAGGTTGCAAAATACTTGAAATGAATATAAAAATTACAATCCCAGTGTTTATATATCAGAAACAGAGGCAACGATAAACAAAGAGGCTCAAATAACTGAGCAGAAAATTATTGGATATAGAACAAAACAAAAGACCAGAGACAGAGGGAGAGAGATAGAGAAAGAAAGAAAGAAAGAAAGGGAGAGAGAGAAATTTCTTTATTTGAAAGTGAGCAGTTAAACTCGATTCTCTCAAGCTCACCAGCTCATCAAGAACACACATTAAATAACACTATATGTTGTTCAGTCAAAAGGCTATACGGAAAAAGGCAAAAATATCTTCCAAAAAATCCACTGTCTTTAGTAGAGGACAGTAGTTTGCAAACAGTGACAAAAATCTCCCAACTCCAATTTGACTAGAGTGTGCACCAGTCTCCATCCTGTGCTGAAGAAAGTCCTTTATTAGTCCCCAAAAATGCTCTTTGCCTATTTTTTTGCATACATTTTCTTTCTTTTTTTGCACCAAAGAAGTTGAAGAATAAATTTGGCACATGGGATGCAATATTAAGGACTAAAACAGATGAAAGAAACCAAAAGTGAGAAAGGAAGGGCTTTATAATGTAAGTGAAACTCGTGTACAAAAGGACATATTAAGAATCAGCAAACACAGCCGTGAAGCTGGAAAACGCAAAGTGTGATTAAAACATTTAAAGCGGAAGTGTGTAATTTCTGTGTCATCAAACATTATTGCAATTGTTTTCAAACAGGTTTCCAAAACACTTCCCATCTGCCATTGGTCAGGCAAACAGAAAGCCCCGCCCCAAACTCAAACCACTGATTGTTAATCAAATTAACAAAGCTATAAATTATTCAACCAATGAATGGTTTACTTAGTTGTCCCTGCATATTAAGCTACGAAAGGAGACAATATTTTATTACTCACATTCTTACACACTTCAACTTTAAAGAAAAAAAAATAGAACTAATAAATGTTTAAGGTGCTTTAAGATTGCTCTGCTGTCTGTGAAATTCATAGACACACTTTTCCTAATACTGAATATACATACTTGTAAAAGCCGATGCAACACAAGCGTTATGCTTTCAGATGAGAACACAACAAGTGATACATTTAGTGCAGAAAATACTGATATACAAATCCTTCGAAAAACTAAACATAACATTTTGAACGTCAGACAAGCATACAAACATTCATCAAAGACCAACAGCTCTCTCTGTTGCGTTATATGATGCAATTTTAAAAGAGTGAATCTCACGAGAAACGTGGCAGATAAATGACATCATTTAAGTTTTATATCAGAGATCAAACTTTCAAAACAAACAAACAAAAAATCGAAATTATAACGTTTTAGATAAATTAGTTAATTTAGGTTAACAAATAAAAAATTAAAACATCATAGCAGGCTCACCTTGTTGTTGTAACATTGTTGCAATTCATTACTAAAACAAGCAATGATTTAATCTTGATTTACATGTGTTTTCTTTTACTGTATTAACGTCAGGTGGTTCAATGACACCTGCTTTACAATTCTAAAACTCAGTCCGTTCATAAAATTCGCAAGTAAACATTAGAAAAAAGTTCACTAATCAAATATTTGTTACCAAATTCCATAAAAGCATCTTTACTTTCCAGAATGTCAATGCACTTTCTTTTGAAGACAACTTATACAAATATGCACTGATTATTATACGAACGTTATCCTATATGAATGATTGCCACTTCAACAATAGCAAAATTGCTCCATGACAGTTATTTTGTAATTCTGTATGGCTAAAGTATTGTTACCTATACAATTTTTTAAAACACATCTGTTCTTATCACTTATTTATTTTGGCCACACACAAGGGGAATGAGCAATTTCATAACTGTCCATGATTTCACCTTTAGCTCATTTTAATAAAACTATCCATCCTCATCAATAACCAGTGGTCTCTATTGCTATTAACTTTGTACTGTTTAATACACAATACTCACACACACACATACACACACTCAGTTGAACACTGATGCCTGAGGTTTCTTCTCAGACACACTTTTCCAGGTGTCTACCATTTATACTGATCTACTGCCTGAATCCTCACCATACTAACACTGATCTAGTGCATCCTGGAAAATAACAAAATGTCAATATAACAGGAAAAATATTAATGAATGTGCTGTTGTCAGAATAGCAGATGAAGGAACAGCAAGGAGACTCTGTGATGGCACAAAAACAAAGAGCTCAAAGTGAAATAAACTTCAGTGGTTTGTCTGTGTGGACATGACAGAGCTAAAACGGTTGTGGTTGTGAACACACTCACACATATGGACACACACACTTTCTCAAAGGTGAAGTGCCTTGTTGGCCCTACACAGTAGGCACTGGAGTGGCCATATTTGTGCCATTTTTTCCTTTTTGTTAAAGCGGTTTAACATAGTTTCCTGGGAACGTTCCAAATAACCTGGTTCTCCGAGAGGTACCTGAAAAAAAGAGACTATCAGCAAAGCATGATTACATTGTATAATGCATAAAACATGATAACATAATGTACAATGTACATTATTATAATTACATGGCACTTTGGGATACTTGATTCTGATTGGTCAATCACATTATTGTATAGTTAAAGTTAAAATTAAAGAATAAAACTAAATCAAATCATGCATTAATTTATTTGAAGTTTTTTTTAAGAACACATATATGCACTTGTATTACTTACTCACCAAAGTTGCATTTATTTGATCAAAAATACAGTAAAATGAGTAATATTCTGAAACATTACTACAATTCAAAATAGCTGTTATTTCTATTCAATTAGCCCTTTATTCTATTCCAATATATTTTAAAATGTCATTTATTCCTGTGATGGCAAAGCTGAAGTTTTAGAAGCCATTACTCCAGTCTTCATTGTCACATGATCCTTCTTCATAGTAATATGTTGATTTGGTTCTCAAGTACTTATTATTATGATCAATGTTGACAACAGTTGTGCTGCTTAATACTTCAGTGGAAACCATGAAACATTAAAAAAAAAATAAAAAATCAGGATTCTTTGATGAATATATAAAGTTCAAAAGCACAGTATTTATTTGAAATATATGTTTTGTAACAATATAAATGTCTTTTTTTTAATCAGTTTGTACAGTTTTATCAATTTTATGCATCCTTGCTAAATAACACCATTAATTTATTTAAAAAAATCTTACTGACCCCCAATATTTTAATGGTAGTGTACACATATTTAATTTATTAAGTCATATTGAGTAGTCTCATTAATAAAAAAGTATATACCATTTGCAGAGGTGCTGTAATAACTACAAAAACGTACCCACAAACCAGCCATCATCACATTTCTCGATAACATCAATAACGTCCCCCTCCTTCAGCTCCAGCTCATCCCCATTACGAGACACATAGTTGTACACAGCTTGGAAGCTTAAGTGAAATTAAAATAATATACATTTTTAAATGTGCTGTTTATGTTCAGACAGTGAATAAATACAATGAAAAGTGAAAAGTATTTGAAAAATTGAAAAGTGTACTTACGGGTCACCACCTGAATGCTGAGAATCCTGCATCATTTTCTGAGAGAAAGAGAGAGGAAAGTGTCAGTATGGTGTGCATATAAGACTTTAAGGTGTCAGAATATCATGCCAAATCCAGGCACAGGATGTCATTCTGTGAGTCTTCATTGTCATCACAGAGCTTAGAGAAGACCTGTTGTGTTACAATACACACAAAGAGGAAATCCACCCATGATGCGACCAGAGAACTATAAAAGGGATTAGAAAGGACTTCATTTCCCAGTCTGCACTGCTGCTAGTGTCACAGCACACTCCATCCTACCCTTCTTGCTCTACTGGGTGATAAACAGGGAGATAAACAGCGCCTCCTGGTGGAAATGGGGCTACGGGGTGGCTTACCCTCAACCACCACTTCCTGCCTACAAACTGTCTGCAAGAATCAAATTCAAGGCAACCAATCAGAGATCAGCACGCTCATACAAAATCCATCTCAGTGTTATTTACAACCTCATTCTCAGTCTTAATCTCAATACCAATGTTAATTCGATTTTAGTTTAGTCATTCCAGAGTCTTGAATTATTAGGGATATGATAACTTCAGTCCAAATTTGGGCAAGTAACAGACATAAATTAAATTAATAATAAATTGCTAATCTTAAAATTATTTACTGTTTTGTATCAATTTATCAAAAATAAACATGAATAAAACAATAATTTTAAATGCTGCAAGTGAATTTAGCCATCAAAATTATTTATCTAAATTCTTGGGCTGCCCTCGACTAAGGATTTTTCTGGTCGACTAGTAGTCGTTCATTTGAAGCATTAGTCGACTAATGGCACGTTTATTACAGTTTTTCTGAATTGCTTAAACACTAAACCCCAATCTCTGAACCAAATTCTCACTAGCTTAAACCAAATTGTCGAATAAAGCACTCTTTCTGCTAAACCTTAAACACGTTCACGCAGTTAGGCTCTATTTGCAAATCTCATGCACTCTTTTTGCAAAACTCTAAACACATTCTCATTCACTTAAACACTTATCACACTGTGATGCATTTGTGCTGCAAAATGCTAAACACAAGTGGCAAAAGTTAAACTCAACTAAAGCACAGTTGTCATCGTTTACACACAACGATTCAAAATTGTTCACACTTGTTTCTAATGATGTGATCAAACCAACTGTACAAAATATGAGCCAGTCCAGAGTGCACAAGTGGCACAGGTGACTGAATGATGATA